TTCCAGACTGTCGACATGTCAGGAATTTCAGTCCCCTCTCTGCCTATAGTTTATACTTAAAAACACTTCAAACACACAGAGATTATTCAGAAAAATGTTTAACTAGTATATATTCTTCTTTTCAGTCTGTGTCTTTCAAATGCAATATGATCTCAATTAATTTTATGAGGCCTAATCCTCTTTTGTATCACAATATCTTCCCTCAACTGCATCACTCTCTATCTTATTGTTCATAAAATCACACAACATATGCAGTCCTTCTTTTATATTATAATATAAAACGATAATTCTTTTAAACTCACTCTTATTGCAAACATACTTCTAGACACAATCATACTTCTCACTCATTCTAACTCATCTCTTACACTGTGTAACCTGAACCTCACCTCTATTCTAGTCTCTCTAGATCAAAGGTGATAGCTTCTGCATACCAGTATCTTCAGTCCAACACAGACAAATACACAAATTCTAACAATTACATAAATACACTACACTACACTCCTCTTGAGTGACCTGTTACTTCTGCTCCCGTCTTTACTGTCCTTCAGTAAAAATAGCATTTCACAGGATTTTTGCCTTTTTTCCCCCAGCCTCCTGAATAATAATATTTATCATTATTAAAACAGAACGGGTACTCCGAGGTCTTTGCGCGCTTCTCTCTACTTTATTAATCTGCTTTAATCTCTTAACTGTCACCACACTTTAAGAACTTCCTTTTAAAACATAAAAATGCTCTATGCATATTCTTCATAATATTAAAAATTTCCCAAACATGAGTAACAGTTACTAGTTAACGTTTATCCTATCCGTCAAGGCCCTCTTAGGAAAACACAGATCATTTGCATGCAAATTGTTATTTTCTTCTGGTATTCAAAACCCCATTGTTTTCCTTTTATATCTTTACTTTTACTTTTTTAGTTTTACTTGTAGTTCGTTATAGCTGGAGAAACAGTTCAAGTGACTTTTTACCGTTACAAGCAGGTCCTTGGCAGAAAAAACACAAACGTATAAGCTTAAAATTGCTTACCGTTTTTTATCGTGGCCACATATTTGTGTTTTTCCTCCAAGCCCCAGCATGTCCAGTGTCACCCGATCGTCTCTTCTCAGCCGCACGTTGGAGCGCCATTTGTCGTAAATTCGACGTCTAATCAATTACAAATTATCAGACCAGAGGTTTTGAATATTAGAAAATAGACTTTATTCTCCATAATAAAGCCGAGAAAGAGCAGAGCAGACCCCAGAGCATTCTGAAGTCTCTCCTGGACCTTCTGAAGTCTCTCCTGCACCTTCTAAAGTTTCAGTGTGTTTGTTACAATTTTTATACAGGATTATTTGACACACCCCTAAGTCTCTTTTTAACTCTTGACCATTTTTGAATAGGTTTTTAGTCTAAGGGGTCCTGCTATTCTTGGCTCTCAGCCCACTAGCTCATGTCAGCAGAGATGTTACAGGTCTATGTCAGCAAAGTATAGATGCAACTTATGCAAAGGAACTAAGTGTTTACATACATTGTTATGATAGGATAATAACTTGATAATATGTTACTCATTCTAACTTCTGACACATATGGCTTCATACAAGTATTTAACATATATGATCAGTGCTTTACATATTCAGTTATTCTACACAATCAGTCACTCAGCCTTCTCCTAGTGTTGCTCCTGTAGGCATACTCATCTTACACAGACATATCACTGTATTTTTAACACACGCTGGCATGTTTGCTGCAAACACTACATACATTTTGTGAAGAGAAAATTAACTGCTTTACACTTAGAAAATACTTCACACTGAGAGAATAGAAATCTTCTTCAGTTGGAGCTAAACCCTGCAGGGACACCGGCCCTCCAGGACCAGGATTGGTGACCCCTGCCATAGACTATTATGCTGATGACATTTTCAAGACGCTTTAATTTTTCTATCATCTTCCTCTATTCTTTTGACATATAAAATACACATAAATTGATCAATATAGTTTATCGATTTTAAATTATTGTAAACATACCACAGTGTATTTTAAAATGGTATTTCAGTCACTATTTATATTAATTTAATCATCCAAAAACAGTGTGTTTGCATTGTAGTAGGCATTATATTGATTACATTACAAAAATGTGACATTGATCGGAAATAAAGCTCCTTTAATACCTGTTGTATCAAATTTGATACATGATTTTCAACACAATTTAATTGCAACAAAATAAATTAATTAAGTAATTATGCTTTGTTTCAATCAAGAAAACCTTTATTTAATAAAATTAGTAACAATATAAATTTTATTCTTACTATAACATGTTCTTACTTACATTTTGAAAAGGTAAAAAAAAAGCCCTTCCACGGCCTGCAGTGTTATGAAAATCCAAAAGGGGGAAGAATACAAGTATCACATCATATACAACAGGTTTTTAAACAAAGTATTGATCAGGTTATATTATATAGGTCTTAGAAACTCGTGTATCAAATATGATACATGCAGCTTTACAGGGTTAATGTAGAGTTCATGCTTAACAAAGTAAATTCATTATAAACTCATGTTTAATAAATGATTCATGGTGTAGTGTTACCAACTATCCTGCTTCAACTTTTATGAATACTTTCTTGCTAAAAAAAACTTCCACGCTTATTCAGGTACATTTTAGCATTAATAATGCACCCTTTACTGTAGTCAAAAAAAAGAATGTTGACCACTGAGTAAACACTGATGAAATACTACACACTGATTAGGGAAAACATGAACATTCAGTTTGTGCTGAAGATATGGTTGTTTCTTTGTGATAAATAGATTTGAAGACTTAAATAAAATTACCTGCTTTATTTTAGAAGTTTACTGTAGCCAACCTAATTTTGACCCAAAGGACAAACAGTGAAGACAGAACTCTAGGCAACAAAATCAAACAGCAGCAGATTTTAGCAGTTCCCTTGATTTTAATGTTTGTTTTTTCAGAGTACTGTGGATATTTTACAATTAATATATCTATTCAATGCTAAAAGCAGCATACAATTGTGTTGGTTTGTGTGAGCTATCCCTTGAACAGTTACATCCATCTGTTTCTACTGTAGCATTATTGTGGCTAGAATAAAAGATGAGAAAATTTATGTATTCCCTTTTTTCCATCCCCTAAAAAATATTGGAATCAGAATACAGAACTGATAAGAACCCGATTCGCTAAAATTAAGATGATACCCAATCCTGCACAGGTGCGATTACAACCTTTAAAACTTTTTGCATTATCTTTTTTTCCATGTGATAAATTCTTGATCCTTTGAATTATAATCGCATGCGTAAAAATACACGTACAGTAATTTCGATGTTCTAAAATATTTAAACTTTTAAAATCAACAGTGTATATATGTATAATGCTAAAACTGTAAGAGTGTAAATTTAGAAAGTGGGAATTAATCAGAAATCAAGGAAATAAATTTTATTTTTTGTTCAGAAAATTGCACATTTATTTTGTAGTTTTAGATTAAAAGATCAGAGAAAGCATGTACAGTACATACACAGTAGCTGAAAAAGGACAATTTCTCAAGCATTTAAAAGCCAGGTTTAGCTGGTAATGTGCTTCATTTACCTGTGATCTGATTGACCAAAATGTATCCGGTGTAATTGGCTTCAGTCATATTTCTGTCACCGTCTCCATCTTTCTTAGCCATCCTTGAATTTCTTATGCTAAACTTCATACATGCAGTACATGATCATAGGTTAGAAAAGCGGGCATGGCATGCATGTATGCTATACCAAAAAGATAAATTGATGAATCAGCAAGGGGCTCAAATTGGGTAATGACAAGTAACATGAATCATGTCACAAAACACATCAAGACAAAAGTAACAAACCTGTTTTACATGTGTAATGAGTAGCAAGTACATGTCACGGTTGTGGATCCATCTGCTCCTTATTTGAAGTGTCTGCGTTGTGTGACAGTTCTATGGAAGTTTTTTTCTAACAAAATTAAAATGAAAATTCAAATGCTAAAAAGATCAAATGATAAATCAAATGCTCAAACTGTAAATCAAATGCTCAAACAAACATTGCAAATGATAAATCAAATCCTCAAACTGACTCTGCAAATGATAAATCAAATGCTCAAACGGACTTTGCAAACGGTGAATCAAATCCTCAAACCGACTCCTCAAATGATAAATCAAATCCTCAAACTGACATCGCAAATGGTGAATCAAATGCTCAAACTATAAATCAAATCCTTAAACCGACATCGCAAATGGTGAATCAAATGCTTAAACAACTCTGCAAATGGTGAATCAAATCCTTAAACGACTCCGCAAATGGTGAATCAAATGCTCAAACTGAAATCGCAAATGGTGAATCAAATCCTCAAACAGACATCGCAAATGATAAATCAAATGCAAATGAGGTGTCAATCAACCAGCATAGGCGGAGCTTTAAGACGGAAGAGTTTGTTGTTGACAACAACCGGTAGCGCTACCACTTTTTCAAGGCGTTCAGATTTGCGTGCACTATTCCACGTCGTATCCGTATAAACTCGTGAAAGAGAAAGCGAGAAATCTCCTACTGCTTCAGTCCACATTCTGAAGTGTTCATCAGATGGGTACATCTCTCACAGGAGGCCACGAAAAACCATACGGCAAGATGATGATGCTACGTCACATTGTGGAAAACTGGATGGATGCAGACATCTTACATGTAAGTAATTAAATCCAGAAAGACGGTTCCTAGAGTTAAGTTATATTAAAAGAGCAAGTTGAGCTACTGTGCTGTGAACTGTAGAATTACTGAAAGTGTAGAGATGCACAGTATATTTATTTTATCTTGCTGTAAATTGTACTCATGTAGGAACTTCTGTAAGCACATGACGTTACGTTTCAAACGTTAATTTACATAAAGACGATTTTTTTTAATGTCTGACAGAAAAATGTAAGAGGTATTGCAGATTAGCAAATTATAACATTAAACAGACGTCTGAGTGATTTGTTTGTGCTGATGTAGAATACACTTTTGTCAATGCAGCTTAGGTAAGATATTATTACAGTAATGTTTTCTTCTGTTCATTTGGTGATACATTTATGAAAGTATAATTTTGAGCACACAAATCACAGAGGTAACGTGACTTGTCTGGTTGTTATAGAGAAGGAAGCACACATGTTTGTGTGTTAGCTGATGCAGAGTGACTGAACAAATGCTACCATCATATTTGTTTAACAAAATATCGTTATTTCAAACAGCTATTGCAACAATTTCTTTAATGTTGATTTATATGCCATTTCTGGGCTGGAGCAGGACTTGCAAGGCAAGAAAACAGAGAAAACCTGAATTCAAAACATGAAGTAAGATCATGTTATTACTTCCAATTCAGAACTTAAATGAAACTTAAAAAGTGTGCTGTTAAATGACTTCTTTATTAAGAGCTTTGCATAATCTGAAATGTCCTCAGACTGGTGTGTGCAGTGATGACGATGAAGAACAGCAGTGTGCAGATGAAGGAAATGTTGAAGATGCTGTAGTGCCGTGGACAAGACCCTGCATCCCTCCACCTGCCTGCGTGTCCTCATCTGAGCCAGATGCATGTGTGCTCTTCATCTTCAGTATGAATCGGTTTCTCAGGCATGGACAGCCTCACCTCACAACTCTGTTCCAGTCTGACTGCAGCACTGAGGGATGTGATGGCAAAAACAAGTGAAGTCCAGCATGCAGCAGAACATGGGGTTTTGTCTGAAATACATGATTGTTTGAATAAGTTTGAATAAAGCTTAGTTTTGTATCTTGTTGACTTGTATTTATTTATCATGGTTACTATTATTCATTCTTTTAATCATACATTCATATTTTCTTTAATTGTTGATGAATACATTAATAATTTCAATAATGTATAACTACATTATTTCATTTTTTGACCGAAAACTAAGATGTACTCACCTTGGCTACATTTGTCTAGTGACTATTCATGCATAGCTGTGGCATATGTGTGTGTGTGTGTTTGTGTGTGTGTGTGTGTGTGTGTGTGTTTGTGAACAGCGTTTATTATTTTTGTAAGTGTTGGGGTGGGCTTTGCAGTCTAGAGTAAATACTCACATTTTTCGAGTGTAAAATTTCTCCAAAGGAAGATCTTCAAGCAGCTGTCCGACATCTTTGTGCAGATGTACCAATGTGCCAACATTAGAAAGGCTATCAGGTGGGTTATCAAGTTACTGATGCTATTAAGTGTTATTGCTTCTGTCCCTGCTATTTTATTTGTATTATTATGGGATTGTTATCAATAACAATTATTATTAATCATTATTATGCAGAAATAAAAATTTCTTACAGGCTTAGGGAAACACTGCTGTATCTTAACAATTAACAAAAACAGCAAAAAGAGAACAATTGTAATGGATTTTCTTTTAATATAAGAATATATGATTATATAATCAAACAAGACAGGAAAACGAGCTTTAAGCATGTTCTACTTGTGGATCAAAAATGTTACACAATAAATGTAACAACAAATTAGGTGAAATTTGACAAGGATATCTTATGTAAAAAATATTAATTTAAATTAAGATTAATTAAACCTGCCATTTATTTAAAGTTGCGCTTGTAACATCAGTTATATAAGTTTTTTTTAATCATCTTGCCGTATGCTTTTTAGTGGCATCCTATGATAGATGTACCCATCTGATGAACACTTCAGAATGTGGACAGAAGCAGTAGGAGATTTTTCGCTTTCTCTTTCACGAGTAAAAACTTCTTTCTCATACGGATACGACTTGGAATAGTGCACGCGAATCTGAACGCCTTGAAAAAGTCATAGCGCTACCGGTAGTTGTCAACAATGAACTCTTCCGCCTTAAAGCTCCGCCTATGCTGGTTGATTGACACCTCATTTGCATTTGATTTATCATTTGCGATATCAGTTTGAGGATTTGATTCACCATTTGCGATGTCAGTTTGAGCATTTGATTCACCATTTGCGAAGTCGTTTAAGGATTTGATTCACCATTTGCGGAGTTGTTCGAGCATTTGATTCACCATTTGCAGAGTTGTTTGAGCCTGTCGGTTTAAGGATTTGATTTATAGTTTGCGATGTCAGTTTGAGGATTTGATTTATCATTTGAGGAGTCGGTTTGAGGATTTGATTCACCATTTGCCAACTCCGTTTGAGCATTTGATTTATCATTTGCAGAGTCAGTTTGAGGATTTGATTTATCATTTGCAATGTCGGTTTGAGCATTTGATTTATAGTTTGAGCATTTGATTTATCATTTGATCTTTTAAGCATTTGAATTTTCATTTTAATTTTTTTAGGAAAAAACTTCCATAGCTTTGTCCATCATTTGATCAGGCAATAGCAACACAAATAAGTGCATTGTTGTTGGTCTTTGTTCTTCAGAGAAAGTGTTGAAATAATGGTGTAAAAACAGAGTCAATACCTGTGTTTCTCTGAGAGAGAGTCCTTTACTCGCTCCTCTGCCATACTGCAGCTAAAACACCAATGCAGACATTAGCAGAGCTTTCAGGAAACAATCATACATATATATAAATATATAGTCCTTAACATGAATGCAGTTGGTTTAACCCCTGATCTGACATCCCAGGTGTTTCACATTTGATTTAAAATACATGCATGTTATAAAGAGTTTATCAAGATAGGTTCAGGTTTAGCCAAGTGTTCATTTAGTGAGTATTAAAATGTCTATTTATTTAAGAGGCTATTTGGTAAATGAGTTACTCTGACAGTAAAAGGTTAAATGCAGTGTTGTTTAAGGATCGTCAGCTTGTTGTTTTTCAGCAGCTATTCTTCCTGTTCAACTGGAAGGTCTGCTTTAACTTTACTTTTGATTTGGTGGCTCTGAATGTTTAGAGTTATATTTGATGCTGAACTATTGGAAACTATTGAGTCAGTCTGAAATAGTAGAGAACAAACACTTTAAAGGGATTAAAAATAAAGCTTTTAGACACAGTGTTTAAATGAGCGTGTTTGACTCAGTGTTTAATCTGTGTTTGAGGATTTGATCTTCAGGATCAGACATTTAAATCACACTCACACATATAAAACCCCTTCATCATCTCCACAAATCAGCGTAATGTAGAAGTGTTAAACTCACATGCAGAAGTACAGACGCTCTTGTCCAGCAGGAAGACAATTTGAGCTCTTTCACTCTTTCACTTCACTAAAACACACCTGTGTGATCTACAGGTATATCCTGAAATATCCTGAGTGACACTGACATGAATATTCATGAGATTCTTCTGACTGTGGGCGTTTCTTGAAGACAACACACAAACCACTAAAGATGAAGATATCTGTGCAGCTTCTCTAGACATGAGTGTGTTGAAGGAATATTGAAAATATATAATACAGAATATATATATAGTATAAAACATTCATTATAATATAAAATAAAAATATTTAAAGCAGTGTTGGACTAATAAACTAAGATTACAGATGAAAATATAAATGAGTACACCCCTTACAGATCTCTCTGATGAACTACTGTCTATCAAATGCTGTTCAGTAATATAAGTGTGTTTATTCATTAGATTAGTCAGGACTGAAGCCAAAACACTTTTAGATGTAGCTGAAATGTTCATTCATTCATTTTCTTTTTGGCTTAGTCCCTGATTTTTATCTAGGGTCACCACAGCGAAATGAACCATTAGCCATTAAAATGTTTTTAAGATACTGAAAACAACACAAATGTCAGTGCATGTCAAAACTTCTCCAGAGCCCCAAAACACCCTCAGACCCCAGATGGTTAAAAGTCATTTAATTAGGCAATAAAACAATGCATTACAAAAACATTTTAAATGTATAAATAAATAGACACTTTTATTACTGTATTTTTATTTAATTCATGTTTTAAAGGCTGATTAATCAAACAGTAAAAACTTTTAATAATAAATCACAAAACACATTTTAAACAGCTTTTTAAATAAGCATTTGGCTAATGCTTTTCTCCCTATTTGCCGCTTGGTTTTCTTTTTCTTTTGCCACATGCTTTTCTCAAATTAAAAATAAATCGAGTTAAAAAATGGCTCTGCTGTAATGAGCTATTGTTTTCTTCTGTTAGAAAAAAAAGACAGTTAACAGTTTTATCTAGATTAAATGATTGTGGTGATAAAGATTTTCTTGGAGATATTGAACAAAATGAACTTCGTATTTTGCCATCAGAGTTGGATGACTACTATACAGAGAAAGCTAAAGGAGCTTTACAATCTAGAGTGAAATGGATAGAGGAGGGGGAGAAAAATTCTTCATATATTTTTTTAAATTTAGTAAAGCATAGGCAAGCTTCAAAAACTATTAATAAACGTAGCATAGATAACGATGTAAGTGAAGAGAAAACTTTGATTGATGATCACATCTATTCATATTATTATATAAGTCAAAATTTAATGAGAGTGATTGTGACTTTTTCTTTTCCTTTTTAAAAGATAAAGTTCCTATTATAGATGACAGCTTCCGTGAAATGATGGAATCTGACATTGTTATCTCTGAACTTGATGTTGCTATTTCTAAAATGTCCAATGGAAAATCCAGGCATATACGGAATTACAGTTGAGTTTTATAAACATATTTGGCCAGAGATGAGATTTTTAGTGTTTGAAGCACTTAAGAAAAGTAAAGACAAAGCAGAACTATCGACTTCTATGAAGCAGATTTTAATAATTTTAGTTCCAGAGCCAAGCAAAGACAAATTATTTTTAAATAATTGGAGACCCATAACTCTTTTGTCCAATGATTTTAAATTGGTCTCTCATGTATTTGCCAATAGACTCAAAAAATGTGAGATAATTAATAAAACACAATCAGCTTTTATTGTATTAAATTTATTTTTTATTGTATTATCTTTTATTTTTAATGTATTAAAGGGAGAATTATTCAGAATGATACTTGATATGCTCGATTATTTAATTCCTCAGACAAGTTTATTTCTATTTCTAGACTTTTTCAAGGCATTTGATACCCTTGAGCATCCTTTTTTGTCTTTAGAAAGTCTTTAGAAACTTTTGGGTTTAGTCCGAGCTTTTGTAGGGTAATTTCCATGTTCTATACTGATATATTCAGTAGTAAATCACTGAATTCAGGATCATCTCCTAGAGTTTACATCAAAAGATTAATCCATCAAGGATGTCCCATCTCACCTTTACTTTTTAATATAGCTGTTGAACTTATGTCATTATATTAAAAAAAAATCAGAGTACACTAGGTATTAATATACTTGGTAGGACTTTTACTTTAAGTCAGTTTGCTGATGACACTCTATTAATTCTTAAGAATAGGGAGGTGCTCCTTTTAGCTCTTGTCAAAGTTTCTGTTTCCTAAAGCTTCTGAATTCACCTTAAACCTAAGAAAATGTGGAATATCAACTATTCAGAATTGTACTTTAAGAGAGTTAGAGGGTATTCAAGTAAAAGAAGAAGTTAAATGCTTGGGAGTTACCATCACCAAATATTCTGTTAATAGAGAATGTGCAAATTTTAATATTAAAATAGATGGCGTGAAAAAATCCCTAAATCATTGTCTAGCTAGAGACCTTTCCATATAGGGTAAAATTCTGTTGACTGGGATTATCTAAAATTATATATTTAACTTATCCTTTATATACTCCTCCCAAAATAGTTAAATCTATTAATTTAACATTTTTTACATTTATTTGTAAAAATAAAACACATTATTTACGTAAGAATCATATGGTCAAAGAGTATGAATATGGAGGTTTGAAAGCTATCGATTTTGAATGTCTTCATAGCACTTTTAGAGTTAAATGTTTAAAAGAGTGTTTAGCTAAGCCTTATTCAATATGGTATCATATCCCAAATAATTTGTTTAAAAAAATGGTGGCCATGAATTTGTATTAAGATGTGATTATGATTGTTCAAAACTTCCTTTGAAGCTGTCTAATTTTCATAAGCAAGCACCACTTCTTTGGAAAGAGATATTTACCCATAATTTCCCCCCTCATAAATCCACTCTTTGGAATAATTGGGCTGTTATTATTAACAGAAAATCATTGTTTAGAAGTGACTGGTACAATAAAGGCATTATATTTATTAATGATTTGTTAGACAAAAATGGACTGCTACTATCTCATATTGAATTTTTAAATAAATATAGATTTAAAATCACAGATAAAGTTTATACTGAAATTTGCGAGGCTATACATATTGCTTTTTTTAGGTTA